AAAAATAACCTGGATTTTCGCCCATTACTGCTAAATTTAGCTTTTAAATGTCAACTTATGCATTCTTTTGGGCGTCTGTTAACATTCGAAAAATCCAGCGCGCGGTCAATTTTTTGAATTTTAAGGTATAAGTTAAAATTGCGTCTAGTGTAATACGAAGAAAAATAGTGGAATCTATATATAAAGCTTAATTCTTCCCAACGCCCCTGTTGGCAAGGCCCAGTTGTAAAATTTATATACATATTAAGTTTTGATACCGTTTAAATGTTAATTATTAACATTGAACATCGTTAGTAATTACCCCCGGGAATGTGATGCCCTATTAGAGCTGTTCATTAGATAAGATTAATAAGTAATCGTACGTTGTATAGAGCCATGCTACAGTTATATTAATAGTATAGTTGTAGTACGAATGGGTCGGCTCGACCGGGGAAGTACCACGTTCTCACAAAATACCAGCGTAAAATAGATTAATGCTACTGTGTTTCGTATAGTGAGTGTAGAGAACCGGAGACCCTTTTTACTGGAAAAGAGGCATTTCATCTTAGTCCTTACGGGTAACAACGTATTTGCATTTTGATTCGTAATCGAGGATAGATGTAGATGTCTATGGGCCACAGCAACCAATTACCATCAGGTGGACATTTTTGAAAAAAAAATGTGTCTTGGTAGTTTCTTTCAGAATAGAGGTGTTCTACGAAACAGTAGATAAAGTAAGAAAATTACTTTCAATTTTAATTTCATGTAACGTATATTACATGTTATATTCTAAAAAAATATTTTGTAATATATAAACTATTTTCGCTTTTTTTTAAATCTAAGTTTGAAATCAATAAAATAATAAAATAAAGTTTTAAAATCAATGAGTGTGAAAATAATACTATATCATATTTATCGCAGGAGAATCCCCTGCCCAATACCACACCATGGGCGTCGTAGAAGGCGATAAAGGGAAACAGAACTATGAGTTAGGCAGCAGCATCTTCCAATAATAACTAAATTATAATGCGGGTGCCAAACTGTTAATAACCACCATAACTTTGTAGCGCAAGCAATTGGGCGAGGACGGGAGATGCTCTTTAAACTAGCTCTTAGCTCGTTAATTTACAAAAAGCGTTACTTCAACACTAGGATTTTGTCCTGTATCGTGGAGTAGTTTACATACATTAATTTCAAAAGAACTAATATCCAGACCCGTAACAATTATTTTTAACCTGATTATTAGTAGATGATGTGTGCTTGATTGAGAATCCCTTGTGACAATGATGAAATCTCTCTACTCGTAAAAAAGGTCACCGGTTCTCTACACTAAACATATAAACATAAAATTATTAAGCTGGTATCATATTCTGTAAGCATGCTCCTTCATAATCAAGCTGACGTGCTGGTTTGGCTGCCGTTATACAATTGCAGCATTGCTCTACCATGTTACGAAAATGTATTCCCTAACAAATGTATACACACAAATATATCCTTAAGAACAGAACATCAGAACAGAAGCAGATTCTAGGAGCTTAAAGACGTGGAAATACGTTGTAAAAGTGGGCTTCCAGTAGTTTCTTAACTGCAATAAAGTCTAATTGGGCAGTTACCAAAAAAATTTATAAAACTAAATCGCATTAATTTCATCGTCACCCACTTCATAATCTATTACTGTCGGAAGTAAGTCCAGAAATTTTATTGATAAAAATGGTAAAACAGGGAAGTAATTGCGCTATTAAAATAATTGGTAATATGGTAATGCTTAATGGTATAAGCACACGCGGCATAGTTGGTAACCGATCGTGAAGTGCCTTATTAGCTACTACGATACTAAAGCAAAGTATTATAGATCAGCGTTAAATGCTGACTGCACGCGCTCTGACGTAAAGACACTGTACTTCCTAAAATGGCAATTACATTGCTTTGATTATTTACCTTTTGATTGATTATTAATTACCTTTCAATTCCAATTTTCACGTACTTACAGTTGATTTCATGTGAAATCGAAAGAGATTGACAATTAATTGCTTTTCACGAATTTGAGCTACGCACATAGAATAATAACACCTAGAACGATAGTTCCCTACAAAGCGGACGTTCTTAAGTGAGGCAAAAACAAAATCTATGTGTGCGTAAGCCACTTGTGTTTACGCTAGACGAAACGCACTCAAGTGAAAAAATAATTTTGCCAATACATTAAATTTTCCCCAAAAGTAGGGAAGTTGAAACTATATTGGACTAATAGTTACGACGTAACGTATGACTGATACAAATGTGAAAATAAGTTTTTTGAATTCTGTTATCGAAGTGTAGCCCGCCAAATTCAAAATATTCTTGAATAGCGCATTTGCCTATCTAGCCAAGTGAGATTTTTATGAGCCATCGAAATGTGATTGCATCATATTTTTCTTTGTTACTGTATAGGTTATAATAAATGTATACGTTATAATTATATGACTAATACAAGTTCGATATACACACCCGCCCGATACCCGACACATGACTGTTCGACGAACGATTGATCGAATTCAGTATATATTTTTCAGTTTGTTTTTAACTATTTTTTTTAAATAATTGTTGAGTAATGGTGTACCGCACCTCACTGCATGCATGATGTAAGCTACATTACGAAAAACACAAGATCATTTTAATTTTGGCAGGTTTCACACAGTAGATGCATTTCAGCTTAAAGTGATTGGGAAAAATTTATTAGAAAAACACAAATAAAAATTAAAATCATTTATTTCAGTAGCCTTGTAACTGCAACTGTTTCCTGAATAACTGACGCTTTGATGATACGAATCGTAAAGTATTTTCTTTTATGGATTCATAGAACAGTCTAATTCTTAAGAATTAGACTGTTCTATGATAGCTACTTAAGTAGCGCTCGACAATAAGTCTCATCAAATTCGTGTCATGGAAGTGGGAGTTAACGTGTTCTATAGAAAATATACGAGTTCCTCCTATGAATCTTCTCATAATTAGAAGTGTGATTTCTTTTTCGGAAATATTGCCTGGATTTTCTTTTAGATAACGTCTCAGAACAGTTTCAATAACACTACAAATAGAATAAACTTCTTTTGAGGCGTAAACCAATCCACCTTTATCCCTCATACATACTAATTTATGGAACCAAAGTTTCTCTTTTGCAAGCATGTTATCAATGCAATATTTACATTTTACTCGGGTTGTGAGATGTCTAGCTACATTTCCAGCTATATAGCCAACAATGTGGTTTCTGCAGTTAGGATCATCGCTACCCGATGAAATTTTGAATCCGACATCATCTGGAATCGGTGTTTTCAATAAGTGTTCAGTTAATTCTTTTTCTTCATCATTAAATCTTTCGGAAAATGAAGTATTATTGATGCAAGTTAAAGCAGATGAACATGTTAAAATAGGTATGTTTTCGAGTGGCACGCAGTTACCAGTTTCACTTACTTGCAGTTCCATGCGGCAGAGCAGTTTTCTGTAGCTACCCTTAAATTGTAGAGCGTTTGGATTGTCATTATGTCCGCTTTGCATTCTTATCAATCCAAAAAGTAGCTCGATATGGTCCTGGCTCAACCTGTAGGTTGTAATATACTCCAGTTCTTTTGTATCTTCAACTAAGGTATTATATAAGTACTTAAGGCTCTCTATGCAAACTAACAATCCTTTAAAGCCAGGAGAGCACTTTACAGTAAGGGCCGATTGGAAGCTTTTGATTTTGAGATTTATTGAACTCTCTATTTCATTGTATTTGCGCTTTCTAGTAGTTTTAATCTTTAAGTGAAGTATATATTTTTTTGGTTTTCTCTAAAAAATCAAATATTTCCTTTTTATTAGAATTTGAAAGGGGATGGCAAAAACCATGTTATGTTAACCTTCTCGTATTAAAAATGTCGAACAGGTCGTTGAAAATCATGATAAAATTTTCTGTGCCCTTACTATTCTTGAAATCGTCCAATTTCAAGACTTCGCGGCAAAATTTCAGTGCCACTGCTACATTTCTGCTAAGTAGTTGAACTGCTAACTTTATTTTCATAATAGAGTTTCTAAACTCGAGATGTTTACGCGTTAGTTTATTAGCAATGTGTAAACCTTCTTTTTCTTGAAAGTCATTTAATTTTGTTAAAAATTCCCAGTCCACTTTATTTTCATCTTGGTCTAAGAATACTTTTTTTGTCTTCGAAATGATTCCGAACCAGTTTGATCATATGACTGGAATCTAAAAACACCGCTACCTCGTTATTAGCTGCTGGGTGTTTGAATGTAGTTTTAATATTCTCTACGTCCTTTAGTCGGCATCCTAATAATTCCATGGCTGATATATTTGTCGAATGTGCGTCAAATGTCAGAGCAACCACTTTTACGCCTACCTCTTCACATTTAGTCAGGCATATTTTTATCAGGTTAGCTTTTTGCCCCCCGGTAAGACCATGCACCAAAAAATATCCCAATGGGATCTTCCAGTGTTCATTCAAGCACACAAGAATAAAAGTATAAGCTTCCGTAGCCTTTGTTGTACAATCGGATGTACCTGTGCCAATGTCTACACGCCCGTGGCCTCCTTTTTATATTTTGTGGTCGTATTGCCATTTCATCTGCCACTAAAGCACATATTAATTTCTTCTGTGTACATTGTAATACTTTCGATTTCAAAATATGAAATGCTTCATCTGTAAAACCAGGGGAACCATTTATGGTTTTATACCAGTTGTAAATAGTTTTCGGATGTGGGAGGCAAGTATTAAATGTTTTACGAACATAGATGTAAGCTCGTGGTGAGTAAAAATGCAAGGTTAGACAGAATTTCCTAAATTCTGGAGTGTATTTAGGCATCGGTCGTTTTTTATCTTTACATATTTTTTTTAGCTAAGCTACTGTATAAATCTGCTGCAAATACATTTTCCGACAAAATATTGGATATGTCATTATTAATATATCTTTTCTTCCGTAATTCTACTAAAATATTTTTAAGAGTGGCATTTCTTTTCTTTAAGCGTCGATTTTTTTGCTTCAGAGTCTTAATCTTTCTACTGTGTTTTTGTTGCAAAAAGATCTTTTTTCTTAGTTGTCTCCGTAGTGAAGCCTTTTTTAGGTGAATCGAAAATAGAATCTAGTTCTGAAGATAAAGGTGTCATTGAAGCGCTTAGATTAACATTTTTGTCCATCTCACAACCTGAGGCTTCCTGAAAAACATTTATACAAATAAATAAAGTAGTAAGTACGTATCTGCCCCACATACTGATTTACTGGTAGAGAATGCCATAAGGCATAAAGTCCACTGTTTATGCATCTTATTCGTGCAATAAAGAAAATATAAATAAAAATAAGCCAATAGCTACTCGTCAATCGACATAATAATTTACTGTTAGTTTAGTTCCTATATTATTATTATTTTACTACACAAAAGGTGGACTTAACGCTTATTGGCATTCCCTACCATTAATTTTATTTACATTATGTAACTATGATGATGACTATGACTTAATAAAATACTGCACTAGAAAAAATCGACTGGTATCGAGGGTGTGGGACTCGAACCCACGATCTTTCACTAACCGGGCGACTGCTCTTCTTTTTCTCTTGTCGTGGATTCGAGTTCTGCTCGATACCAGTCGATTTTTCTACTGCAGTATTTTCTTTTGAAAATAATGGCATTGTGAATGCTTAAAACCACAAATTAATTATGTGACTTGGCTTTGTGTTGATTTATTAAAAACTTACCGGCTGAGGTTGATTTTGCTCTTGGCTTAAATCATCACTCTTCTCTTCCGTGCTAAAATCGGGTAGATCCTATAACACAAAAATTAAACGTAAGAAAAAAAATTAAAAAGCAATCCATATTAAAACAGTTTATAGGAATTTTTTATACCTTAGTTGAAACTGCACCCTTGCGTAATCTACATAGGCCACATTTAGTAATATACTTTACTTCATCCTTAAAATGTAAAGAACAAATTTTTGTATTTTTAGTGGGCTTCCAACTGCTATCATTTCGATTGCGTCTGATTTTTTCTGTCCAACGATCTGCAATGATCGGATCAGAAGGAAACCTAAAACGAAAATGAAACATTCATTTATTATCAGACCATATAATAAATTTCCTTAAAATTTATCATCGATACTTTTTAAATAAAAACAATGCGTTGTATTTTATTCAAATTTATTGACGTATTTTACTTTTAATTAAACGACAAAATGTGGGAGAATTTTTTTCACACTTTGGCAACATTTCCATATAATATCATGTGTGAATTTTTAAAAATTCATATTTATTTTTGATGAATATTTTACGTAAAAATATAAGTTCAAAAGCACTACTTACACGTGAAATGTAATGTCACTATGTTTCTTGTGTTTCTCTGATGTATTGTGACATCCGTTCACTGCACAAACCGTCATTTTAATTAAAATTATGAGAGCTGTTGTCAACACCATACGACACTGAGCACTAACGGGCCGAGTATTGAACTGAGCCATACTGGCTTAGTTTAAGTTGCCTCACATTACGGACGCGGACTCGGCTTCTAGGTGTTATTATTCTATGGCTACGCACATGTAGCACTTATAGCCAACGGCCATATCATATATATTTGCGTTGTCGTGAAGCAGCAGTGCCCTAGAGCGATTGACCAATCTCGGTTGTTTAGCAGCTAGTTCTTCCTTCATGGTTTGCAGTTGTTGATAATAGACATCTGCCGTAATCGTTTGGCCAGATTTTAGAAAACTGTAGTGAACGACACCGGCGCTAGTCCATCAAACACTTACAAGTAACTTTTACTGAGTCAATTTTCGTTTAATGTAAGATTTAGCTGGATCTCCAGGGTTCAGCCATTGCGACGAGCGCTTCCGATTATCGTACAGTATCCACTTTTCATCGTAGGTAATGATTCGATTAAAAATCCCTTCATTATTGTGTCGGTTGAGCAAAGTAACACAGCAGTCGACGCGTGTTTTCAAGATCGATTCACTTAATTCATGAGGTACCCATCGTTTAAGTTTTTTACTTTCCCGATTTGCTTCAAGTGGATTAATACAATTTTATCTCTTATTCTAAAGGCTGCAGCTATCTCTGAAATGTTTTGTGATAGATCCGCTTCCACAATAGCCTTTAATTCTTCGTTCGCGTGTTTTTCTGTCTGTCTCTCTCTCTCTCTCTCTCTCTCTCTCTCTCTCTCTCTCGTTTTTTGTACATAATAAATAATAAAAAATAATAACAATAATGAATCCTGACAGTGTTTCTGCACAAGTTCCGGATATTGTGATGGAGTTAGATAAGTAGAGATTTTATTCAGACAATAATAAATGCTTATGTATTTTTAGCAAGTACGCATTATAACCTCTCTTTACTATTGTGCTAACCAAGTCATACGCGTTATATTCTCCCCATTATTGTATATTTAGCAATTGTACGCGTCATAACATTAATAAATTTAAAAGCAAATTATATTTTAATATGACAATATCAATGCGTATGTATTTAGCAAGCCGTGCATGTTTTAACCTATACGCTGGTGTGTTTACGTAGTCGAGAGTATCTTAATCTTAATATATATAAATTACGTGTCACGTTGTTTGTCCGCGATGGACTCCTAAACTAATTAACCGATTTTAATCAAATTTGCACACCGTGTGAAGTTTGGTCCAACTTGAGAGACAGGATAGTTTTTGTGCGGCTGGAGTTAGTCTGGAAATTTAGTGTTAAACGCGATAAAATACAAAAAGAGAAGCATCATCTATTGGCAGTGCCAGTGAGTCAAGCCGATCGCAAAGAGCTCGGTCGCCGATGATTCGAACGACTCTGAGCTGGGTGCGATCAAATGGAAGGAGCTGGCACTGCGGAGTTCTAACCCAGTGATGGGAATAGTAATTATGTACAATACAAACACACAAAATACAAATGCGGTCTGGTTACAAAGTATGATGAAGTTTTCATCAAACTTTCAACATGATCTTAATCGTATAGATTGTTTTGCGGCCAATTAATTTACAATCAAACCAGTCGCATACGACTGAAGTGCGTAAGCTAGTAATGGATAACGGACCGTGCATGGCTTTCAAAAGACTTTAGAGTAAATTTGTAATAACAATATATCGAAGTACGATATGTTGAAGTATTCTATATTACCAAGTATTATAAAACTATTTTTTTTTTGTTATAGAAGAAGGGGCAAGCCAGAAGAGGGACAGTATTCGTTGTGAGGCTGAACCTGTGCCTTGTAAAGTTGCAGGAGGTGTGCTGGCATGATATGCTGCCTCACTCTGCTGAGCTCGCCAAGCTTTTTAGAGGCCAAGTTAGCCTTCTCTCCCAAGTGACCACAAAACTTCATGTCATTCGATATGTCGATGGCGAGGATTCCGAATTATGAATAACCAGTCTGGGTATTTTATATATGGCTCTGACGTAACCGATTTGTTTATGGCGCCATATATCGAAAGCTATTAAATTTTTCTGGCGTTTCCCATAGTCGCCTCTTAAGCAAGGTTTAGACGAAGCCGGGGCTGTTCGCCACACAACCCTCTAGAGATCGATCACATTTCCTTTTTTACAGTTCTGGCTTGTTATTGGCCTCGTATAAACAGTTTTTCAAGACAAGCGAGCGCTCGCTGCCAGCACTGGCGGAAATAGAGCATCTGCCTATTTCTCAAGGCAGTGACTCCGCCCGCATGCTCCGCAACCCCCGCTCCAGGATAAATAACTTGTAATATAAATATTTACTATAATACATAATATATATTAATTTATATTGTACAAATTCCTATATTTGATGTATGTACTATATGATAAACATTATTTTCAGTTAAAGTTTAAAAAATAATTAATTTAATACGATTAACAAAAATAATCTAGGAATGAAATAAATCCATTTGACCTCGTCTAAACAACAATGGCCAGACCAGCGCTGGCTCATCTGAAGCCTGGCGCCAGCCTTACTGGCTTCGTGTAACCTTGCTTTACTCTGCACGTAGAGGAGTGGTGGATTAATTTAATTTAAGCCGCTAGCCGCTACACAGCAAACGTCCCGTCGGTCCCTCCTTATTTTTTTATAAATTAGAGTAATAGTTAAGGTTATATAATTATATTATTAATACTTTACAATGTGCATCTATGAATTGTAAATTAAACGCATCTGATGCTCCGAAAGGTCGCCGGAAAGGTAGGAGGCAGGTCACTGGCTGAAACTACCATGTGCGAGAATTACACGCAAAAGCACGATTATATATTTTAAAGAATGGATAAATGCTGGAAAACTGTTTAACGGAAAAATTTATGACGATATGACAACGACGCGTAAGGCTTTTATAAATAAATTAAAATGTTGCCAAAATAATCAAGAAATGATAAGAATGAACATACTTGTCACTCATAGAGCAAATAAAAAATTGCAAAATTTTGGAAAGCGACAAAAGCCTGCAACATACGTAGTAGTTTGCCAGTTAGCGTGAATGAGATTAACGACAAAAAGGACATAGCTAACATGTGCACGTGGAGAGTATTCCCCATGCTCAGTCGACAATCTCCAACGCGGAGGTTTTGTCCTTGTGTGCTAGTGATATCATAAAAGTAGTTCATAATATGAAGCGAGGAAAGTCTCCGGGCCACGATGGCTTCAGTTTTGAGCACCTTCTCTATGCCAGTAATAAACTATTTGATTCTCTAGCATTACTTTTTAACCTATGTATTAAACATACATATATTCCTGATAAAATGTTACAGACGATTGTTGTACCTGTTGTTAAGAACAAAACCGGTGACCTCTCTAATATCTCCAGTTACTGACCTATCTCTCCGGTCACAATAGTTGGTAAAGTGCTTGAAAGACTTCTACAGCCCGAACTTGTGAAAATATTAGAATAAGTGATGCTCAGTTTTGTTTTCGTGCCACTGTTTCTGCCGACTCTGCAATACTGTCCGTCAAGTACGTTGTAAACTATTATAAAAGACGTAATACATCTGTTTACGTCTGCTTTTTGGACTTGAGTCGTGCATTTGTCCTTGTTAATTATAGTATATTACGGAGGAAAATGCATGAGTCCAATGTACCTGGCACTGTTCTGGGTTTACTGAGATGCTGGTACGAGAACCAGACAAATAAAGTTAGATGGGACGACACAACCTCTAGTAGCTATAAACTAGAATGTGGGGTACGTCAGGGAGGGCTGACCTCTCCGGACCTTTTCAATCTTTATGTTAACGGCTTGATCGAGGAGCTTAGGAGTGCCAAAATTGGATGTCACATTAATGGTGTAGCGTTTAACAACCTTAGCTAAGCAGACGATATGGTGCTCCTTAGCCCATCAACGGTCTCAGAAAGCTTATATTCATCCACGAAAATTATGCTCGTCAGCATGGATTAAAATATAATGAGTCTAAGACTGAAATGCTAGTCTTTCGTGCTGGAAAGGGTCCGAGGAGAGTACCGCCAGTAAGCATAAATGGTGTGCAGGTTCCGACTATAAAGAATTTCAGGTACTTGGGTACATATACATATGTTGTCGGAGAACCTGAGTGACGACTTGGATATTGAGCGTGAACGTAGAGCACTAGCTATACGTTGTAACATGCTGGCGCATCGCTTTGCCTCGTGTTTTGAGGATGTTAAGATTACTCTGTCTAAAGCCTATTGTATTAGCTTTTACACCGGACAACTTTGGATAAATTACACAAAAAAATCCTATAACATCCTCAGAGTACAGTATAATGATGCTTTTCGTATTTTTTTTGAAATGTCCACGGTACTGCAGTGCGTCCACAATGTTCGCAGAGGCTGCCGTCCCAGACTTTTACGCAGTGTTACGTTGTAGAACGGCCAGTTTCTAGGAAACTGTACGTAACTCAACAAACGAATTAGTTAAGGTCGTTGCTCAGGTGTCTCCTGACAATATATTTTATAAACACTGACAGGGTATGCATCAGACGCTATAGGTGATGAATTTTTATTAAGTAACTATATTTTAACTCATAATAGAGTTTGATTTGTAATTTTGTGTGTTTTTTTTTGTTTGACATAAGTGAGTTGATACCTTAATAAATAAACTTATTAACCCGTTTGTAGTTTTTTTTTTATATTATGTTAGTGCATATCTACGTTACATATTTTCATTTAAATATAATATTGTACGGACACAACATCCTCCGTGTTAAAATCTTCCATGCACTTAATCGGTTTCATGATGAAATTACTCCGTATACTAAAATTATCGATACTATTACTATTTGAGCTGAAACAGTGGCGTGATTTATACAATATAATCAATAGCCCCAAGAAATAAAACTTCAAAATAAATTCTATGCGAACGAAGTCGCGTTCACAGCTAGTATATAAATAATGGAGTGTAGAAGTAAGGAGTACAGACTGTGTATTAAAAAGTGTCCATAGAAAACAAATAAGGGTGGTGCCATTATAGCTACGGGCTAAATTTTAAAAAACGTGCCGAAAAATATTAGTGGGATAGACGACTTTTTCAAGGTTATATTTACTAAAAAAAAATTAATTTAGGTTTTAGAGCTACTGAACAGTTAAGCAGCACACTTCAAATCGTCGACAACTGTAAGTTTATTTCATGCCAGTAGCTACTCCAGCGCTGTTGTGAAGAGTTTTTCAACTGTTATTTTCTGCTTACAGATGGCCACTTTTTCAACTATTCTACTATGGGAGTTGGTACTCCTTACTTCTACACTCCATAATATAAATATTTGTAAAATCGAGTGATGTGAGTGGGTTGACTATATCGAAATGTTTTGATATAAATTTCACCCGAATGAAACCACCGTACTTTTTTATAGAATAAGGGTAACAAAAGAGTACATAGCCCAACTGAGGTTGATGATGCGTTGTTACCACTGATGACTAGGATGGAATGCCTTTTTACATGAAAAAAAAGTACGTGGTTCTCTACAGTCACCATACGAAACACAGCAGCATTATGCTGCTATTTTACGCTGGTATTCTGTCAGAACGTGAACCTTCCCCGGTCGAGCAGACCCATTCGTGTTACATCAACAATACGAGTATAGTTTTAGCATGGATCTACCACGTATATCAATACTACGCTCCTCAGCCGCCTGCAGTACGTTATGACGTGCAGATTTCTTTATTTCATCTCATACCATATTATTTAGATAGCTAAAATATATCTACATTTACGAGAGGAGATTTTAAATAAAGTGAGAATGCGGTAGGTACACGTCCTAAGTAGAGGTAGAGCTAAGTATAGCAATATACAGGGTTACAACGCATCTGCATTTTGATTTTCAATCGAGGATAGATGTAGATGTCTATGGGCCACAGTATCCACTTAATACCAGGTGAACTGTGTGCTAGTTTGTCACTCTTATTTTAAGTTCAAAATTCATAACTCATTATCGTCAGTGGTCGGTGGTGAATTTTTCCTAGTGTAGTGATGTTGAGAGTAGCGGTGCTGGGATTAGTGGTGACGGGATTAGTGCATGCAATTGAAGGAGGGCGAGAATTGGCTCTTCAAACTAGGTAAGACACATCATTTTATTTCATTGAGCGGAAGTGGGCGAAGTAATTCTTAACAACTTTAGTATAATGGATTTCCACAAAGTAATGCCTGATTCTGTTAATTAACTCTTATTTTATAAAGAAAGCGTGTGTACTTGTGATATGCTGTAATGATGGAGTTATGATTTTTAACAAAGTTAATGTTTTATCGGTTTTAAAACGAGTAATAAAGAGTGATATTTTGTAATTTTTATTACGGCAATAAAACATGAAAAAGTTAGAAATCATTTCAATTTTTCTAAATTATAAATCTACAAATTAATAACAACATTCGTAAAAATAACATATAAATTGTAACTGTCATGAAATATTAAGCTTTTTACGCTTGAAACAGCGTCATGCTGTCAAAAAGCTCTGTGGCTATAGTTTTCTAGAATTTTCCGATTAAAACAAAGTACCCGGGTACCTTATCTCACGAGAAATCGATTTATTAATTTAACACTATAATTAAATGCTTATAAGCACTGCGCTTTTCATTAAACTAATCTATTTCTAATTTTCTGAAACTGCCTTCTATCGATATGGAATCGCCTGTATTAGTAGTACTTTTGTTCCTAGACGAAATAATTCCTTTGGTGCTGAGGATCACCATATCGTCGAGTGCGAGCAGCTTCTTCTGTTGCTCTGAGAGTAGTTGCCTTGTGAAGGATACCATGTCTTGTAGTTGCAGAGGGCCGCCATATGACGTTGGCAGGCAAGACACGTCAACATGTTTGTGGAGTTGTTTCAAGTTTGTGTGAATCTGTAAATAATATAGATTTGGTATAAAGTGGCGTAAATAATATCTATGTTTGTTGGTTGCCTTCAAAATTTTTTACGTGGTAGAGCCATGCTGCAGTTATATTAGTAGTATAGTTGTAGCACGAATGGGTCGGCTCGACCGGGGAAGGACCACGCTCTCACAGAATACCAGCGTAAAATAGTAGCTCATGGCTGACGTGTTTCGTATGGTGAGTGTAAAAAACCGGAGACCCTTTTCACTGGAAACGTGACATTCTATCTTAATCCTCAATGACATCTAAATATTTACATTAAAACCTTCGGGACCTATTTTCCATCCGAAAGGATGGGATCTTTTTTTTTTTCAAATATAAATGGGACCACCTTGAGATATGATTAATTTAATAAAAAAAAGCATTAAAGTCACTCTCATTTGGCTAATATATCGTGTAAAACGCATACAAAAACAAAGTTTGAGAGTTTCCTTCATTATTTATAGAATAGGGTGACAAACGAGCACACAGTCCACCTGATGGTAAGTGGTTGCTGTGACCCATAGACATTTACATCTATCCTCGATTACGAATCAAAATACATATACGTTGTCACCCGTGAGGATTAAGATGGAATGCCTCCTTTCTAGCTAAAAGGGTCTTCGGCTATCAACACTCACCATACGAAACACAACAGCGTTGAGCTGTTATTTTCGCTGGTATTCTTTTAGAGCGTGGTCCTTCCCCGGTCGAGCCGACCCATTCGTGCTACAACTATACCACTAATATAGCTGCAGCGTGGCTCTATCACGTAAACAAATGGCAATGTTGCCAAAATCGCAATGTAATAATTTGCATTCTTAAAATTAATGGTGTTCTGATTAGTAAGAATAGCAGCACACATGTTGCTGTGTTCTTTATGGTAATGAAGAGACCTTTTTTAATGTTAACTAGCTATTCCAAACATGGAAAGGTTAATCCATCCAAAGATGGGCGATAACGCATCTGCATTTTTATTATTAATTGTGGATAGATGTCGGTGTCCGGCTTCAGAACCCACTTACCGTCGGGTGGATTGTATATTTAAAAAAAATATACAGTCCACCTGATATTCTAAGATTACATA